AGACTTCACTCGATTGTAGAGGGAGTGCAACTTGACAAGATGAAATAAGAATAATTTAACAAATAAAGGGGTACAACAATTAAGTTCCATCAGTCTAAAATGATGATTAATTGTTGCGTAAATCAGGTAGGGCAGAGTATTTTCTGGAAACAAAGTTTAAACATATCTACCACTTTCAATCATTAGTCTGTGATGACCTATTCGAAATTTCACTTACTCTTTACTTTCATTCAACGTTCTTGCAAAGTCTAAATTCGTCCTTAAAGATAGTATAAAATTCCAGTTTTCTTTATCAGTAAAGAATATATTTCAAATGTATTCACACGTAAACCAACAGAGTCTAGATTTGGACGGGTCAGCTTCTTAGAGGGAGAGCAGGTCAGCAGGATATGTTATTAATCGTAATTAATTGTAATTAGAAAAGCCCGAGTCAAAACATGCAAGCCAAATGGGGGGTCATGGTCCCAGGCGTTCCTCGCGTAGTGCCAGGAAACTGGGGATGAGCTTGGGACAGCTACAACAATGTGAACGCCGTGTTTTGCGAAGAAAGTTTGGGAAAGACTCGAAGAATATGTCGATCGTTTTCGGAATGGGTTGGCCCGCGAATTATATTGCTTGAAAGCCTGCAGGATAAGCAAAGTTCATGCTCGATCTCACGAGATAACAAAGGAGCTATTTACGAGTTCAAACTACGAAAACACAGACAAAAAAAGTCATGATGTTGAGACGAACATCTCGGATGTTGAAAAATCAAAGAATCGTAGTAAGCAGAACTTTGCTTGGGACAGCTACAACAGTGTGAACGCCGTGTTTTGCGAAGAAAGTTTGGGAAAGACTCAGAAGAATATTTCGATCGTTTTCGGAACGGGTTGGCCTGCGAATTATATTGCTTGAAAGCCTGCAAGATAAGCAAAGTTCATGCTCGATCTCACGAGATAACAAAGGAGCTATTTACGAGTTCAAACTACGAAAACACAGACTAAAAAAATCATGATGTTGAGACGAACATCTCGGATGTTGAAAAGTCAAAGAATCGTCGTAAGCAGAACTTTGAAGATGAGGCAAACAACATGCAATTGCATGGATAAAGAGGATACTCGACGAAGCAACTTGAATAGTAAATATCTAAGCGTAACTCTTTCTGTTAAAAAGTTTCCTGATTCTTTTATTTGTTTTTACCCGGTAGCCGAGCAATGTTTCCAAAAACCTAGATACCTGGCAGTCTGAAATTATTATAGAATTTCTGCGGAACAATTCATTCAGTTCTTAGAATACAGTAGAATAGTAGATCTGCCGTCACTCACCTGTAGCGGACTTTCCCAATGTTATGGTCTGTCAATGCAGATCGGAAATCCATTGTATTTCTACACAGAGATCGAGCATTCTCAGTAGTTTCGAATGGACATTTCGGTGGAAAAACGGAAAGAATTTCTGACTGCCGGGTATCTACAGCTTTTTTGGAAAAACCGTGCCCGTGGGTCACACAAAGTTCGTCGGACAACTTGCAAACACAAATCATTGAATAAAATCGCTTGGTGTTTATGACCAAAGATCAAAATACTCAAATACTCTCGGGATGTTTCAAATAATGACAATAATTTTTGTTGAAATTGATTTTCTATGAATTTTTGACCGCCGGGTAGCTAGTGTTTTGAACAACCTTGCCCGTGAGTCAAGACTTTTGTAGTATGGCTAGGAGAATTCGCCCACTACAAAGAAAACTTGAAAAACATTATTTAGAGTCGCTTGGAATTTCTGAACAAATATTCTTTTCACTGGGGACTAAATGTCAAAACATTGAGATTATATGGTATGTCCAAGTTTGAAATCAGCTGGAAAATATGATAATGTTGCGTAATAAACGAGAGCTGCAGAATTACATTGTTAAATGATCTCTTATTAAGCTGTCAGCCTGTTATAACAACTGTCAATGACGTAGGAAAACTGAGTGATAACAAATTGTAAAACTGAAAAAAAAAACTGGTAACCAGTCAGCTGGGGTCACGTGACAAAGTGTTTTGCTAAAAAATGTTTCTATTATGGGCCTATAATTTTATGAGAAGTAGATCACGTGATGGCCTAGCTGCAAAGGCCTTATTATATACAGTATGGTAAGCTGTTTCTACCAGAGACAGCCTCTTGTATAACGAGTAATATAAAGGAAAGGAAAGGAGGAGAGGGGCAAAAGGTGTTCTAACTTGTTTCATAAGTGAACAGGGAATGGAGACTGCAATTTAAGAGTCACTTTTTTCATTTAAACACCAACTACCCAGCTAAATTAATGTTGGGTCACCAAGTGCTCAAAAATACTAGAATTTTATGAGGACTTTTGCATCTATTAGGTGCCTCTGGTGAAAAACGACGGCAGCTTCATGAGGCTACAATACCCACGAATCCTGAGCCNGTTTCATATTAACCCTGAGTCAGAATCATAAACATAAAGCATAAGTTTGTTATTTCCTTGAGACCAATAACCAGTTTACAAAACCAAATCCGGAATCTGGAAGCAATTCGCGACGATCGGACTGAACGTTTACGTCAGTGGAGTTCGAATTATTATTTGTAAAAAAGTGCGAAGATCAGCGAGTTATGATGCTCTCACTCGGGAAGTTTACAGGGCATTAAAAAAGCGCAAGAGTTGCTCGAGGCGTATAGCCAAGAGCAACGCTAACTTCTTGAGTGCTCTTTAAGCTCACTTCCCAAGGACATAATAACTCGATAACGCACAGCTAAAAGAATGACTGAGTTGTTATAAGATGTAATACTGCAGCCCACGGAAATGGTGAAGGGAAGTTTACTTTCCTCAAGCCACGAGCGTTCAGTCATCATTGAAGCATGATGCGCATTTATGAAGAGTTTGATAGCGCGGTATTATAACATGCCTTGCTGTAGTTCGTTTTGTCGATGGCAGAAACCTAGACTTTGTCTCAAGAATGAAAATCAACGATAATGATTGATATTTAGTTTGCCTTGCTCTTAAATCATCCGCCCTCTAAATACTGACAAGAGAGTCGCCCAAGCAAGGCAAATAATATGTTTTGCAATGTGTCCTCTCAGCCGGTTTCGCACTACAAGCTGGGTCTTGCTTAACTTAAACCCCGGTTAACCTTGTCAGTTTATTGTTCAGGAGTTTCCTCAGTTAAGTTCTACTTGGAAGTAAATTCAAATGCCAATGTGCATCAGTTGTAATCTACACTGGCGGCTTACAAAGCTAATGACCATAACATGCCTAAGACTTTCCGGTGTTCTTCACAGGCCCCCGCTCTGATAACTTTCAAGCAAACAGTTTTATTTAACATTCTTATCTTTGGAAAAAAATGAGACCTATCACAGTAAATCAGTACAACAGAAATAGTTTTTGTGCCACATCATGTTTATATCGGGGCACACTGAGTAGGCACAGTAGAGTCACGATCAGCCCAAGAGTTATCTCAGTTGTTGTAGACTCGCAGTCGTCATATTCATGATTCTCGGATTGGGTACTTATCTTACGAACTCGTCACCAATTTATACATACATACAGCTATACTTGGTTTATAACGCTTTGACTGTTCTGGGATTTTACGCCGAGATGTCTTTCCATCAACGCGGGATGCTCGATATTAACGAGCTCTGCTACAGAACTGTATGCTTTAGGCCTGGCAGGTTCGCCGTATTCATAGGTTTTAAGGTTTCTACAGAATAACCTAGTTTAACTAGCTTTCAATTTACTTCTGTTTTAGCTGCTTGAAGAGCATTTGTCTATGATATTTTAGTTTGCATCTATAAATCTCACTTCCGTTTGGAAACCCTGCCACGCATTTGTGGTAGAGGATGCTTTTATTTTTGTTAAGTGGTATTTATTTTAGATTATTTCTTGCCGTTCCTTTAGCATTACCTTAATTCAGGGTGAAATTTATTGTTTTAGCTTGCGTTTGTCACCCTCTTAGACTCAATTTCCAATGAGCTCCATTAAATGAAATGTTCCATTTATTTATAATGCCCGCATAAGAAAGAGCACGATGTCTCCTACTGTCTATTACACACAGCTTTATTTCAATAGACATCAAGTCTGCTGGTCGGTTTTTCTCTCAGTGACTGCGCAAGCTTTACGATATCTACTTTTTCGATGCCTTGTTACTCTCGGAAGAGGTAGCCTTCGTCTTCTCTTCAGTAGTTACATTTAGCTTCATCGATAATTGTCTGAACGCAATCCCTATTGTTCCTTTCTGTGCATAGTTACCGAGAAGTGAAGTGTTTTAACTAACGGGAAATATAGCGAGTACAGTAAACTTGATTACGGAATTCTATCGCATGTTTCTACTATTTTTCAACGTTCGAAATTTTAACCATAATTCCATTATACACATCGCACGTACTTCATAAAAAGTAAAGAGACGATTGTGTTATAAAATTGTACGACCCATAGCTGTAAGCTGTGCCTTCTTTTAACAACTTAAAAGTTGTTTCCTTTCGTGATAACTTGTAACTGTGCACCGGCAGATTGTATTTTATTCTTGGTTTGGATTCACTTCTAACTTAGCAATCATATGAATGAACCCCTTTCCTGTACTTTTACATCGTTGAGGGTTATTGGTAAGCAGTTGTTGTCCTTGATGTCAATGATTCTCCCTGTTTAATACATATTCCGGCAGAAGGTTGATCATGAACCACACAGTTTCTTTCATGAAAATTACTCAATTTCCTGTCGAATTTTAATTTCAAAAGATTCACATTGTTTTGAAAAGGCTATAGTTCTAAGTATCAGACAAGAAAATTATTTGATGGTTTTGACAATAAGGGTATGAACATTGATTTAGTCCTGTGCATTACATAAAATACCCAGGCTTTTCTCTACCCTCTTTCAGTTTATGAGTACTAAGGCTAACTACCTAAAGCATGTATGAGACCTTATAATCAGAACAGTATGCAGTCATGAAGGATCATGTCAGTTATACATGACTACACATTTTGAGCAGTTATGGAATCTAAGCCTGAAAAAAATTCAGACATTCGAAGACATGATTTATGCGCTGCACTGGTGCAGTGCTCCACCAACTGAGCTATCAAGCCAACTGGGAGCTGGTCACGATGTGAGTTGGTAATACACTCGTAGATGGTGAAGAATGTAAGTGAATATAAGAAAATAACAGTACTTCACCTCTCACTTTTCATGATTTTACTATACTAGTTTAAAACTGGTGTCACTACTGGTTTGAAATTACCACCGGCTCTAAATCTGATTTCCAGATTACTACAGGCTAATTGAAGTTTATGATTTAACTAATTTTACAAGTAATAGCTAAGCTAGTCTTTCAAACTTTGTAAGGAAGATGACAAATGTAGCCAATCTAACCCAGTTGTGTTGTTAGCTGACTAATGGAAACAATTTTGACCAGAATGTATAAACTACTGAAAGCAAGAGTTAAACTGATTGCATTTTTTGATACAATGAGCTGATCAATTGAAATCATTTCAACATATCTGGCGTTACACTCGTTGTAATGAAACCGAAGCCCCCTGTAATCCTCGAGTATCCCTTCAGATCACAAACCGCCAGCAATTTCCAACGACAAGCAGACACAAACCAACTGGGAGCTGCTTACGTTGTGAGTTCTTAATACAAAGAGCACTGCTTTACCTCTCACTTTTCATGATGTTACTACACCAGTTCAAAACTGGTGTCAAAACTGGTTTAAATTACCACTTTAAAAGTGATTTCCATCTTACTGCAGGCCAATTGAAGGTTATGATTTAACTAATTCTAATAATAGGCAAGCTAGTCTTTCAAAATTTGTCAGGAAGATGACAAATGAAGCCAATCTAGCCCAGTTGTGTTGTCAACTGACTATAAATGGAAACATTTTTGACCAGAATATATAAACTGCTGAAAGCAAGAGTTGAACTGATTGCATTCAGTTCTAGATATAATGAGCTGATCAATTAAAATCATCTGAACATATCTGGTCTTAGATTGGTTGTAATGAAACTCAAGCCCCTTGTAACCCTCAAGTATCCTTCCAGATCACAAACTGCCAGCAATTTCCAATGACAAGCAGATACAAGAAACGTACTACTCATTCAGTATAAGTGAGTTCCTTTTAAAGCATATCTTGGCTTACATTGGTTGTAATGAAACTCAAGCCTCTTGTAACCTTCAAGTATCCTTATAGATCACAAACAGCCAAAACTTTCCAATTACAAACAGATACAAAAAACGCACTATTCATTCAGTGTTTCTTTTTAAGCTTATAACGTAAAATTAAGAGACACCCAATTCGTGAACAGCAACGAGTAGTTTTATCTGCATAAACAAGACTTCACTCGATTGTAGAGGGAGTGCAACTTGACAAGATGAAATAAGAATAATTTAACAAATAAAGGGGTACAACAATTAAGTTCCATCAGTCTAAAATGATGATTAATTGTTGCGTAAATCAGGTAGGGCAGAGTATTTTCAGGAAACAAAGTTTAAACATATCTACCACTTTCAATCATTAGTCTGTGATGACCTATTCGAAATTTCACTTACTCTTTACTTTCATTCAACGTTCTTGCAAAGTCTAAATTCGTCCTTAAAGATAGTATAAAATTCCAGTTTTCTTTATCAGTAAAGAATATATTTCAAATGTATTCACACGTAAACCAACAGAGTCTAGATTTGGACGGGTCAGCTTCTTAGAGGGAGAGCAGATCAGCAGGATATGTTATTAATCGTAATTAATTGTAATTAGAAAAGCCCGAGTCAAAACATGCAAGCCAAATGGGGGGTCATGGTCCCAGGCGTTCCTCGCGTAGTGCCAGGAAACTGGGGATGAGCTTGGGACAGCTACAACAATGTGAACGCCGTGTTTTGCGAAGAAAGTTTGGGAAAGACTCGAAGAATATGTCGATCGTTTTCGGAATGGGTTGGCCCGCGAATTATATTGCTTGAAAGCCTGCAGGATAAGCAAAGTTCATGCTCGATCTCACGAGATAACAAAGGAGCTATTTACGAGTTCAAACTACGAAAACACAGACAAAAAAAGTCATGATGTTGAGACGAACATCTCGGATGTTGAAAAATCAAAGAATCGTAGTAAGCAGAACTTTGCTTGGGACAGCTACAACAGTGTGAACGCCGTGTTTTGCGAAGAAAGTTTGGGAAAGACTCAGAAGAATATTTCGATCGTTTTCGGAACGGGTTGGCCTGCGAATTATATTGCTTGAAAGCCTGCAAGATAAGCAAAGTTCATGCTCGATCTCACGAGATAACAAAGGAGCTATTTACGAGTTCAAACTACGAAAACACAGACTAAAAAAATCATGATGTTGAGACGAACATCTCGGATGTTGAAAAGTCAAAGAATCGTCGTAAGCAGAACTTTGAAGATGAGGCAAACAACATGCAATTGCATGGATAAAGAGGATACTCGACGAAGCAACTTGAATAGTAAATATCTAAGCGTAACTCTTTCTGTTAAAAAGTTTCCTGATTCTTTTATTTGTTTTTACCCGGTAGCCGAGCAATGTTTCCAAAAACCTAGATACCTGGCAGTCTGAAATTATTATAGAATTTCTGCGGAACAATTCATTCAGTTCTTAGAATACAGTAGAATAGTAGATCTGCCGTCACTCACCTGTAGCGGACTTTCCCAATGTTATGGTCTGTCAATGCAGATCGGAAATCCATTGTATTTCTACACAGAGATCGAGCATTCTCAGTAGTTTCGAATGGACATTTCGGTGGAAAAACGGAAAGAATTTCTGACTGCCGGGTATCTACAGCTTTTTTGGAAAAACCGTGCCCGTGGGTCACACAAAGTTCGTCGGACAACTTGCAAACACAAATCATTGAATAAAATCGCTTGGTGTTTATGACCAAAGATCAAAATACTCAAATACTCTCGGGATGTTTCAAATAATGACAATAATTTTTGTTGAAATTGATTTTCTATGAATTTTTGACCGCCGGGTAGCTAGTGTTTTGAACAACCTTGCCCGTGAGTCAAGACTTTTGTAGTATGGCTAGGAGAATTCGCCCACTACAAAGAAAACTTGAAAAACATTATTTAGAGTCGCTTGGAATTTCTGAACAAATATTCTTTTCACTGGGGACTAAATGTCAAAACATTGAGATTATATGGTATGTCCAAGCTCGAAATCAGCTGGAAAATATGATAATGTTGCGTAATAAACGAGAGCTGCAGAATTACATTGTTAAATGATCTCTTATTAAGCTGTCAGCCTGTTATAACAACTGTCAATGACGTAGGAAAACTGAGTGATAACAAATTGTAAAACTGAAAAAAAAAAACTGGTAACCAGTCAGCTGGGGTCACGTGACAAAGTGTTTTGCTAAAAAATGTTTCTATTATGGGCCTATAATTTTATGAGAAGTAGATCACGTGATGGCCTAGCTGCAAAGGCCTTATTATATACAGTATGGTAAGCTGTTTCTACCAGAGACAGCCTCTTGTATAACGAGTAATATAAAGGAAAGGAAAGGAGGAGAGGGGCAAAAGGTGTTCTAACTTGTTTCATAAGTGAACAGGGAATGGAGACTGCAATTTAAGAGTCACTTTTTTCATTTAAACACCAATTACCCAGCTAAATTAATGTTGGGTCACCAAGTGCTCAAAAATACTAGAATTTTATGAGGACTTTTGCATCTATTAGGTGCCTCTGGTGAAAAACGACGGCAGCTTCATGAGGCTACAATACCCACGAATCCTGAGCCCCTAAACAAGGATCTGGAGGTAAATGTAGAGGTCCAGATTATTGACCTTAAAGATGTCTATGACAAGAAAACTAAGAAAGTAGCTGCCGGCTTAGAATATCGACTTGAAAATCCTGTGGTGACTGTTGTGGTCCGGGCATCTGTGGAAATCACTAACGTCTACGTACATGTACAGAGGTGTGCAAGAGCTGCCATAAGAACGCACGACACTAGTGGTAAGCAATGTGATATTAGCATGATGTGACCCACACTAGGGTTCCTCTTTTTGCGTTCAATATGTTTAAAAGCTATACCGTACTCTACCAAAAATAACTAACCTCGGGACTTTGGGACTTAGTAGTCTTTTACAGGTCTATCACTACTTTCGAAGGATCGCAGCTGTCGGGGCTTCGTTTTCTTTCGTGTATCTAAAGCGTGTACCATATACTGAAATAAAGGAATTTTCAATATAGAGAGATCTAAAAAAGATTTAAACCTCTTGAAATGAGTTTAGTCTACACCCAAACAAGCTCTATGTACGCAGGTAGTTTCATCAGTGTATCATTTTGGCTTGACACTTCTGACAGGTTCTGTTGAGCTAGAAGTAAGCACTTCGCAAAGCGAGACGAACCGACGAGTCATTTGTGTCGATCTTGGTTCGGTTTACAAGAAAAAAGGTGGGGATCACTTCTACTGGTTGGAGAAGGCTGACATCGCAGAGCGAAATAAATGGGAACTGACCTTTACAATAGAGTTGATCTCGGGATTGACAGCCAGTGCTACATCCAGACCATTTCGAGTTACGACTAAAGCCAATTACAAGAGAGGAAGTGAAGGTGACTGGACTATTACCTGGTCAATTAACAGCTCTTTCTCTTTCCCTTTCTCAAAGGCACTACGAAAGCGCAAAAAAGCGGTCGCCATTGTGTTAACAGCACACTGCTAGGCTGCTCGCTGTCTACAACAGCAGAGACAGTGAGAAGCGTAGCTACTAAGAGAAAGGCAGTCGTGATAAATTGATAGTAACATATGCTATTGGATAAATATTCTAAGATATCTGACTGATACTAGTGTGCACAATTAAGTACGCGGCAGAAATATCAAGGTTTATTCATGGTTTTGTCGACTGAATCGTACAATCATCATTACCGCGTTTGCAACTTTTCGACAAATAAAAATGCGTATAACTATGATACATTTCAACAGTAATGATCCAAATCATTTTTTTTCTTTGTTCTTATCACAGATTATCCAAGTGTTGGCAAAGCGCAAAATCTTAGTTGTAAGATCACCGTTCCAGAAAGCCAAACCATTACGAACACTGGTGTGACCACACTCCAAGAAAGTAGAGAGAGTAAGAAGGGTATAATAATAAAAATAGATTTTCTCGAATGATGCTTCCTCATTGTTGTATCTTTACCTGCACTAGCATCGTGACTACTTGAGACTGACCATGAAGACAATGAGCTTAAGACATTATGAAAGCCAAATTGGATAATAAAGTGATTCAGTTTCCCATAGCAGGCTAGACAATTCAAACTTCTTTGATGACTTTTCAGTCTCTTTTTTTAACTTCCTTAACCATGCAAGAGCAATTTGTGCTTTGATCACTTTCACAAGACGTAAGAAATATAACCACCATAAATAATAGATATTGCATGCAGCTCGTGTACATGCAGTGGAACCCCGCCTTACGGCCACCAAGTTAAGGGGCCTAGGTCACGCAATTTTAGGCAATTTCAGCACTGATCAAATGGTCATAGAATTAACTAAAATATCACAAAAACGGTAGAAGAACTCAAGCAAAACACAGGAAAGCCAAGACGGGACATGAATGGATAAAACTGGAGAGGATTAAAATGGGTTGTATATTGAGTAAATTTGAAAAACGTCGGCCCACCTTTTTTCACATTTATATCAGTTTATATCAACATGTCGTTTACACAGCTGGAATCACATTCTCAGTTGTTAGGTGGCCGTGATTTTGTAAATGAAAGACTCCTGCTCTGCCAATTTGACGCTTAGAGCTCATAGTTAACAAAATTAAACAAAATTACCTAAAATAGCGTGACCTAGCCCTTTTAATACGGTCACCTCGTTATTATGGCCACTTTATTCTGGTCCGAATAAAAGCTCGGTCAGTTATTTTCTCAATTAAAGAACCCCTTTAATACGGCCACCCCGTTAAAACAGCCAGATTTCTGTGGCCCGTTGGTGACTGGATTAACGGGGTTCCACTGTAGTTATATTTTTTTTTTCACTGAAGGGTCATAAATTGTTTTGATAGTCGCAGGAAACAAATGCACTCAGCCCGTTATAGCTGAATTGTTGAAATGATCACAGTACCTACTGAAAAACACTGATGCTTTATCTGCTTTAATTCAGCTAAGCTGCAAGACACTACCATAATGACAGATGATATTGTTTGCAACGAGGTGAGTCAGGATCTATCACTCGTCAACCTTGATGGAATAGACGACGTTTCAAGGGAAGATTCTTTGGAAGAAGAGAGATTAATACTGCAGCCAAACACAGTATTAGACAGACATCTGGTAAGCAGATTGGTCAGATATTATTATATAATGGAGAGCTAGAAGCTGGCTAAAGGTTCCAGGCTAGGTTTACAATTTACTGGCTCTTAACGATATTCAAGGGGTGTACATTCTAACCTATCAAAACAGATAGTTATCATGAAACTTTAACCTTGCTTGAATGTCGGACTAAAAATTCCAAACGGAATGAGTAATAGGAAAGGTGTCGATATGTAATGGACAGTTCTGAAAACATTTGTTTTTTAATATTAATACACGTAGGTTTATCGAAGGCGTTGATGGGATCAATTTCTAAACGTAAATCGTCTGGTTCCGTTTTTCAGGTCGCATCATACTACAGTCAGGAGCCGAGGATCCGTTATGTTGTTGAACAGCCTGAGCTTCCTGCTTTGTTGAAGCTGGTGGCAAAGCGATCTATGCTGGTCGGGGATCGTCGGAAGAAAGCCAGGAGAAAAAAGTCCACTGATAAAAACTTTTGGTGGGCTTGTGGCCACTGCTTTTTTGAACGACAAAAAAAATCGACCATCAGAGCTCATTTAATTCAAGAAGTTTGTAGAAAACCAAGACTGCAAAGACAAATGTCGAAGAGAATACGTTCTGTTTCCGAGTTAGAACGTCGATCCGAGCTTGACAAGATTCGTGATTCATGGAAAAGGTCGATATCAATTTGAAGAGATCTTTAGCTTAGAAATGTAAAAAAGAGGTTTATAACATAAATAAGAACGTTGTTACATCTTTTTAAAATATCTTTTTAATAGTTTCAACTGCGTCCTGTGGTTTACAATTTGCTGAACATTCGAATCGGTAAGAGTCCTTATTGGAAAAAACACAAGTTCTTTTCCTTTGACCCGTACTTTCTTGCCTAAACAACAGGCTTGAGATGTAACGCGTTGTGCGGAACCACTGTAAGCCTTTATAAGAGACTTTATAACTAGAGTAAGCACATTTCATGACATATCATTTCTATTAATAACTGCGTGACTGGACCCACGTGTATGTCCCGTTTCCTGTTTTACCAGGTTACTATGGAAAATTTCGCTCCCTCTTACAAGAATGTCTTCGTGTCGAGCTGTAACCAGGAACAGGTTTCTTTCTCAGCAAATTCATGACCTGTTTTGAAACCTTTTTCGCAGTTATTCGTTATGAAAAAAAGTCCTGCGCTCCCTTGCCTAAACACAAGGTTAAGCTGTTACGCGAAGTGCGGAACTGCTGTAAGCGCGACAGCTAGGTCGATCGAGTACTTTCTAGAATTGCATTACGTGACCACTCCGGCGGTCATTAATTTTTTTTTTCACTACGTGACGCCTTGAACATTTAGAATATGAATTTAAAACTCACAAAGAAGACGACCGCATTGCCGGTCA